GATTTACAAAGATTATCAGTCATATGTTCTCCCAAAGTCATGAAATTTGAATGAAACCTGGCAACTTAAAAGGTTCCTCCTTGCCAAGAAATGCTCTGGATCAATTTGTCACAAAAATGTAAGTAGAGAGCTGGATTTATTAGTCTAATATATCCAGTTCTCTACTAGTAAAAGCATGCATACTTTATTATAGAAAATAAGATCGTCTCTGTGTATATCCATTGTTGGACAGTGTCCTATTGTGTAGTAGATTAGGATGCGTTCTGATGATATAGTTTACAAGTCATGGGAATATTTCGCAAGTGTAGGCTACAACTCATACAATAAATGTAACATATTTACACCCCTCCTCCACCTTCTCTCTCTCTCTCACTCGCGCACACACACACACACATGCACGCGCACACGCGAACAATAACAATGTATAAACGGGACTATCTTCCCAGACTGGACTAAATAAGTACCATACTCTTTAATAACAATCTTAATGCCTCACTTTTCCAAACAGAGCACACAGGACGAGTCCAAGTGTGTGCTTTCCCAAGAGGGGGGAATAGGCTTTCATAACGCAAACACAATGCCATACCACTTCTCAAGATGTTTGCTTTTCTGTTCCTATTCTTCTGTCATGCAATCTAGCAAATATAAAAATGACTACATCTATTGTATTGTGACTAAAATGCAACAAAAACGCAAGTTATCAAGGCCCCTGTTTAGTTTTCAAGTATCCTTCCCCCCTTTCCGGTTCACATAAGCGGGGCCTCGTTTGTAGCGCCCGAAGCGCCCGATGGCTGATGACGCCACTCAGTTGAAATTTCCAGACCGCCAGTCCTTCACCCAGCACGCGCAAATGGGAATGCCGCTTTTTCCCTTAGTTACTCCCACATTTTTAAAGATTACGCGAAAACCGTTAAACACAGAAGCTTGAAATTTTTAGGGAATAAAGAAAAATGGTGTACAACGTATCAGTCAGTTTGACAAATCACAGCTCCGAAAAATCTTCAAAGCGCACCACATCAACCACTTTCGCAAACGTTTCCGACTGCTTCTAAGATGGGTACAATGTTGTCAAACTGCATACTACGAGATCGACCTCTTTTCTGATTGGCTGCCACGTTTCATTCACATCAATTCACGAGAAACGGCGTGAGAGCGAGTTGAAGACAACAACCTTTGCGTTAGCGCGTCCCCCGAAACACCCCCGCTGCGGGGGCCTATAATCGACAGAACAAAACGCGCTCGGTGGGCATTGCTACCTAAATTATCCCCTTTCGAACCTCAGGTCATTCATAAACAAAAGCGTCCAGAAAGGTTATTCGAAGTTCGAAGGGGCGTAACTACTCGTAATGTCTTATTAGCTTGTGAGAGGGGGTTATTCATGTGTTTGTAACACTTTATAAATAGAATATGAAAGATAAAGCATTATTTCTTGTACATAACAATGATCATGATGACATGTTCTGTGCACTGCGTCATTGTTACAATGCTTGTCATTAATATTACCATTATGAATGGAGTTCATAGTCATAGTGTACAAAGTGTTTGTTTACTAAACAAATGGAATTTAAAGTCTATAATTTTCCTTGCTGCTTATCTGCTTTTGTCATCACTGTTACA